TCATCCGACTAAACAAAAGTTAGCTTCATTTTATTGCTATGTTTTCCATGCTCTTCAAGTTTGCTCCTTCAAACTGTCTCTTGAGAAGAACTAAATTATTTAAAAGCAGTAGCTATTGACAGGGACTTTTCACCCAGCATTATTAATCAAGCAGTTAAAAAATTCTCATCTCAAAACAGCAAAAGCCATATTCTTGTTTTAGGAAATTATAAGAATTTTGTTTTTACTCCCTTCTTTCTCTCAATTAGCTATAAAATTGCATGTATTTTACAGAAATTTAACTTTTGGGTTGTTTATTCTCCCATCAATAAAATTCAGAGTTCCATACTCAAGGATATTCCGAATCATTCTGGATATGAATTCATGGGGTATTTAGAGGATTCCCCGCCAGTGGGGTTCAATTTACATTGGTCAAACAAAGAGAGCCTTAAAATCTCGCATTAAGGGACATGAAGCATATGTTAGAAAAAAGGAAACAGAAATCTTCTGTTAGTTACCTAGCATTGTTCGTCCAAAAATCACACTTTCAATTTTTCTTTTCAGCCAAAATTATTCAGAAAATATCTTCCATTGGTGAATTTTTTACAGGCATTTCACATTTAAAAAAATCTATATGTTCTAGTTAACAACCCTGATTCCAATCCATCTTTGCCTTCAGCCTTTAAAGAAATTATGTTCTAGTTATGGTTTCATCAATAGATGGTGCCTATAGTTTAACTCCTGTCCAGTCTTTCTTTTCTTATTTATCTAATCACTATATCTTACCTTGATCATTGGTGCTTTTGCAGCTGAGGATGATAGTTCGGTAAAAATCATCGAAACTAGTCCTGTGAAAATTTGAAAATATAAAGCTGATTTTTTTTGTTATTTGACTCCTTAATTAATTACATAACAGCATTAGCTTGTGAGACACAGAACACAACAGAGCCCTACAATGTCAAAATAAAGGTAATGTAATGGATTGCAAAAAGTTGTAACCTTCTAATAATTTATTTTGTCACTGAAAAAACATTATTGGAAAAAATGGTGCTACAGCATGTTGTTCTTAAATGTTGCTAGCAAAGCAAGAAAATAGCAAATTGTTCTTGTGCACCTGAAACAAGTTGCTGACAGACAATAAACAGCTGAAATGAAACTATTTTCATAATAGTGAGAAATTTGAGATACCTTGAGGTTGTAATTGATGACTGAGCAGTACCAACATGGGGAGTTTCTTCGAGGATGCTTAAGACATGGTACTCTGTAGTTACTGAGAGTATTGCACTGTATGGAATCTCCATGTGGGGCATAACGATCACTACTAAAATGGAGAATCTGCTACGCTTGGCAAAAAGACCATTCATTCCTCTTAAGCATTTCCCGAGGATATAAAACCTCGCCTACTAATGCTCTAAGTGTGATTTCAGGACTGCCACTCTGCATCTCTTAGCTGAGTGTGAGAGTGCAATAGTGCGAGTACTCCGACTGAAAGAGACAATAAGTTTATGGGATAGGACTCATGTTTATACTGACTATGAGCAAAGCATTCCTGAGTCACCTTGTCACCCGGCTGAATTCAACATCTCAATTAACTGCAGGTCACCAACTTGGTTCAAAGCCACTGCAATCTACACTGATGGTTCCAAAGGAGAATGTGGCACCAGTAGCGGATATTGTGTTCTATATGGAAACCAGATCTTCAAGACCTGTGAAAGCTTAAGCACCACAACTCAAATTTTCAGGCTGAACTGGTTGCATTAAAAGCTACACTTTGCTATGCAACGGAAAATAACTATTTCAGTATTTATTCAGACTCAGCTTCTAGCTTTCAGGCAATCCAAGACATGTGCAGTAAAAATCCACTCGTCAGGGCCTTATAAAAACTCCTAATAAGAACACCAAATTACTATAGGCCTGAACTCCAGTGGGTATGTGCTCACATTGGAATACTGGGTAATGAAGTTGCACATACAATAGCTAAAAGAGCAGCAACTCCCCCCCCCCATGTTCGCACACTTGATGTGCCTCTCCCGGGCTTGTTCTTAAAAGCTGAGCTCGAGAGAGAATTACTGAAACGTTGGCAACATCTGTGGGAGACAGAGACCACTGGCCGAAGAGTTCACAGATTTTTGCCGAAAAATCTATCGGCTTCTAAGAAGGTGGCTCGTCTCACTTTACCTCAGTTTCTAACAGGGCATGGTCCCTTCATGACTTACCTTCATCACTTCAGACGACGTGAAAACGACCATTGCTCATGCGGAATGACAAGAGATCCGGACCACTATGTGGTTGTTTTCAGAGAGACTGCCGAACATCATCTTAGGCAACCAGTAGCGAACTACATCCATGCATGGGCCGAAACTACTTTGAAATATCGCTATGCATTGAAACGCATATACAATTGCATAAATATTGCATGCAAAAATCTCAGACAGGCTAGAGTAATTTTCAGCTTCCATCCTCATCACCAGCACAGCCCCCGTATGCTTGTAGTGAATTTACTTTATCTTAAGTTAGCTTTTTCTTTTTTTTTTTTTTTTTTTTCTGTTTATACTTATCTCCTTGAACTGCAAACCTTGAATTGTGAACCTTGAATTATGTATTTTGCCTTATTTTATGTATTTTCACTTTATCAGTTACTCTTTTAATTGTGTAATTATTCATAATTAACGCATTATTTAGCTATTTTAGATAACATTTTTACTCAGTTATACCTGCACTCTGTTAATTGCTCATATATTGCTACTGTACTCATTTATTGATTTCACATTGTGGATGCCTTTCGTAGTACTCAGTTGTAACTATCTGTCTATAACTCTGTAAATAGGTAACTGAAATTGTTCTCCTCACCTGTAATGCACCCTTCTTCCATCACTGCACTATCATCTCACCCAACATTTCTTTGCACTGCCCCCAGCACTCGTCTCGAGCACAATATGTACCAAAGTGTATTCGACAAACATAGGTTTGGGAAGCCTGAAAGCCAGAGACTTTTGCAATTCCGTAATTCCGCGGGGCTATCTGGTCGATATGCTAACTGCCCCAATGGATCAGCTGCCTTGCTGTCGGTGGAAAGAAAGAAAGAAAGTTCCAATAACTGCAAAAGCAATGTTGTCTGTATCTTTTTGTTAGCTTTTAATCTGAAGAGAAGAGTGTATATTCTGCTTACAACTTGAAACACAGATTCACGAAATGTCAAGTTTATGCCCTTTTGGATTTTTTTTTTTTACTTATTTTCCATTTGTAAAAGACAGTGAGAAGAAAAGTACTGATTCTTTTGGTGAATTCTCGACTACCATGATGTACTTACTGATTTGAATCCCGGATCTGAGAGAGATGGGTTAATTTTTGACTACAGAAAAATCACCATAGAATAACTGAGGCTATTTAAAAGTAACCTTATGCCGACAATGGTTTTATAGGAAACTTTTGTACATACTTCTTGGAGATAAGTACAGCATCTCTCTTCTTCAAGAAGGTAAAGTATTTTGTTAAAAGCCTAAAGTAAGTTATTTGCTTATTTTTAATTTATGTGTTTTAATAAATGTGTTTTTTCCTCTGCAAATCGGGATCTATTTAATAATAAAATTTCTTAAATAAATTTGATGATACGTCACATATAAAGCATAACGTGCCATGGTTGAAGTAAAGATACGAGGATGAAGCCAGAAAATAATTCATTGTGTCTGGAATCAAAGGTTTCTAGATCAAAAATTCATTCATTTAACCATATAATATTATCTAGATGTTGCTAAGATTAAGTTTTTGTAAAAAGTCCAGTTGTACAATTTATATAATTGTTTGAAACAGTAAAGATAAAAATAAGAATTTTTATTAAACTTATTCATTACAATTATGTCCAAATACCAAAAATTTAGAATTTAGAATGGAGGGCACCTTAAAATTATTTCATAGGCACACAGATACCCATGGACACCAACCTTTGCTTAAGCAGCTCTGCAATAGAAATTGTTCTTAAAGCTCCAGGAGACAAAGTTTTGAAATTTTTCGTTTAATGTATCTTACAACTTAAGAAATCTCATTTTTCAACCAGCGTGACACATATTTTAGCATTTCTTTTTTGTATTCTTTATAGTTTCAAAATGCCACATTTACAAATATATTTAACCCCTTTGCTGATTATTTTGATTGCTATAACTAAGAGGAAGTAAAGTATAGGGTGATGAAGAATGGTGTTATTTCTGAAGAGATGACATAAATGATAAACATAACACATTAAAAATCACACATAAATGCTCATTAATATATTTATATGATGTATTTCAAAAGACTATTTATATGATGTAATTCAAAAGACAATTTTAGTAATATTAATTTCACTTATGCAAAATATCTTATTATCTGTGCATACATTTTACACCGTTACCATAAATCAGGAGTTTCTAAATCATTTACCAAAAGACTTAGGGGGAAAATATGCCAGCAAATATGACTACTAGTATAATAACTATTAATGAGTAATCATTTGATATTTGTTGAAACATACTGGTCACTTTTGCTAAAAATAATCTTTCTTAAATAAATGCCAGAGGTTTTTTCATACAATAATATTCATATTATGATGCCTTAAAGAAACTTTTCATTCCAGTTATGAAAAATCAAAGCATACCAAAATTTAAAAAAAATCATATTTTATACTTTTTAATCATAAAATATTTTATACTGGTATTTTTGTGGTTTGGAAGGACTATTCTATAAATACAAAAAGATTTAAAAGAAAATCACCTTTTTCAAATCTTAATCTCATAATTAAATAATTACCATTGAATAGAACATTCTAGAAAATTTAAATGATATGAACTATGAAAGGCAAGAGAATTTTACACTGTACTGTGCTATAAGATAAGACTAACAAGAAACTAACAACAACAAAAAAAAAGGGGGGGAGACAAATATACCATTTCTAGCATAACATGCAAATTAAAAATTTTAATAATGTGTTGTACTTATATTTAATTTTTTTGAAGAGATGAACCAGTAAGTGAGTAATCAGTACTTACGTTCTTGTTCAAATAATTCCCTGACTCCTGGCAAATCTTTGGATGATCCAAAATACCTAACAAAAATTTCAAATTTTGATATAAGCATAATTAGACTCAAAATCAAGAAAATAGACAACATGTAAAAGATTTATTATTCCATAATCAGTTGCTATATGGAGTACTCTTAATAAAAGAAGCAGCTTGGGCAATAATACCACATCTGATCATGTTTAAAAAATGGCACGTATTGGTTTTTTAAGTATCTTACATGAATTATTTCCTTTTTCAATTTTAAAAACACAGATTTTTTTAATTATTAAAATTAATTTAATTGTAATTTTTCTTCTTTTAAAGCAGCTACCTAAAAAATTAAAAGATAGATTACATTTGTGATATGATGCTATATTTGCAAAAAGTTAACTCAAATGAATTGATATATCAATAATTAAAAAATCATAAATTTTCTTGTGCCTCTTTTGTTTGTTTGAAATAGCAATCATAATAAATAAATTCATAAAAAAAAAAAAAAAAAAAAAAAAAAAAAAAAAATTTACAAACCATTACAAGTTGCACAAAAATATGTCAGGATAATTTTAGTCTGTCTCTGCATACTCAAGATAATATAATACATTCTCTGAAAAACTCCTGTTAACCATTGTCTTACTTTAAGTTAGTACTAATATTAAATATTTTCAATTAGGGATTGATGAAACTTAGGTAAACAATTGAAATGAAATTTATGAACTATTAATTTCACAAATGAAGCTGACACTACCATAAAAAAATCTAAAAAAGAAAAATAATCAGAATTCAGTCTCTCACAAGAAACAACAATCAAGTATTCAAGTATATTCCATATTTTGATTTTACTCGTTAATTACACTTCCTCCTTGCTTGAGAGTAGAAGCTATAATTAAATTTTAAAGAACCAAAAGCGTTTTAAGCTTTAACTTATTTGTTTGGACACTGTGGGAAAAATTTAAAAAATTATTTATGCATGACTTTTTATTTATAATAAAATATTTATATATATAACTGCATAAAATCTGCTTGGTTTCACACACATATTATTACATTATTTATTTATTAATTTTTGAGAATTATTCAGAAAACTGGTTGATATTTTAACGATATTTACACATAAACCTTGATAAAATATGATATAATAAAAGATTCTGAAGTGATCAGAATAATTCTTCAACATCATCACATGCTGTTTTCATAATCCACTCTCATACCAAATATCACCCCTTTAAGTATTTAATCTTTATATTAAGGATTTTCTTTGACATAGAATTACAAAAGATTAAAATAACATAGCAATTTCAAGTCAAAATACATGAAAGAATGTTTCATAAATGACAAGAAATTACTCTTAGGAAATATCTGTTTTCACCTATTCATATATATATATTGTAATACAGTACAAAGTCCGTAATCCGGACTTGTTGGGACTTTGGCAATTAGGGTTTTTTCCGGATTATAGATCATCAATTTAAATCTACTAAGATGGCATGCAGAAATTATACAATTAAAAATATGAAACTGTAATTTATGAAATAAAGAGCAATTATGATCTAAAGGGTATCAAAATTTACAACAACAACAACAACAACAAAAAAAAAAAAAAAAAAAAGGGCCTAAAATTTTTTTGTTTACTTTATTAAACATTTCTTTCAATGTAAGTTGTTTAAGTTGCTTTGTTTTTTGTGCTAATACTTTCTTTTTAATTCTATAAACAGATATAATTTTTTGTTCAGTTACAAAGTTCCACTGTTCAAGTCCTGTAACTGCTGTGTCGAGAATATCGACTAACTTGTCAATTAAATTTTTTTCATTTTAAATAACCTCTCTGTCACTTTCTTCACTATCGGAAGCAGTATTTTTTGGATCTAGAACCATACTACAGATTTCGCCATCGTTGATTGATGATTGGGGCATTGTTGTTGCAATGAAAAACTTCTGTTAGATCATCTTCATTTATTACCGTTTCTCCACGATTCTTTACAAAATCCAATAACTGGAAAATTTCACCTTTAGTTTGTGATATCCGAAAACCTTCAAATTTGCAGTTATCATCTTCATCCTCTTCACCATGAAACACGGTAGCTGGCCATAAATTATGCCAAGCATTTTTTAATGTATCTGGAGACACATCTTCCCAACGTGCATTAACACACATGCGTAAAGCATACAAAAAAAAAAAAAAAAGTAAGTATATGAACAAAGGAAATAAAATCACAATTCTTACTTATAGCCTTTATTTCCAGGAACTTCCTTGCCTTCATGATCTAACACTTTAGGACCTAATTTCTGAAGAAAAAGTTTTTTTTTTAATAAACAAAAACTTAATTCATGTTTAAAAGTATAATGCAGGGGTTTTCAACCAGTGGTACGCATACCACTGGTGGTAAACGAGAGAAAAATAAGTATTTTTAACAAAGTAAGCAAAGTATTTATAACTATTAAATTCAAAAATCCCAACATCCTGATTGAGTCTTCTCGCTAACACTCGTAAATTTATGTGATCTGAGCTTTGTTCAAGAGTAGTGGTGGTACTAAAGATTTTCAATTTTTGTATAGATGGTACACGTTAGTCAAAAGGTTGAGAACCGCTGGTATAATGCATTACACTGATCGGTTCTTTAGAATACAGTAATTTTCAATCGGACATATCATACATAACAATTATACATTGTTTGGCACTTAAATGAACTTTTATATTATTCAAATAAAATAGTTGGCAATTTCAGAGATATTTATAACAACTTCTAAGAATACACAAATAACATCTCACAAATGAAAATTTAAAATAATTTTATTGCTTTTATTTTTTTTAATATATCATTAGAACAATAACAGAAAAGTTATCTTTTAGAAACAAATAATTAGTAATTAATTAATAAGACAATTATTTAAATACACGATATTTTAGTTTCAACCTAAATTATTAACATAATAAATCATAAATTTATTACATCTCTAGAAATTAAAGCTCTGCATACTTTATTAAATACTGTGTAGTAATTACTCTACATAAAAGTTTAAATGTTCATAAAAATATATTTTTATTTCAATTTCAAATTTTCCATTAAAATCACTATAAATAAAGAGTACACACTGCACTTATTAAGACACATTTATGAAAAAATATTTCATAACATGATTTTAAATTGATATTTCATTAAAAATGTACCTTTAAAATTATGATATTGTATCTTTTATTTCAAATATTAACCTATCATATAATAGGGGGGAAAACTCAGTTTCACATTTCATAATAATTTGTTCAGTGAAAGAAATTCTTCTGAATAATATGAACTATTATTCAAAATGTAACAAAGCCTGCATTTGAAAGAAGACTCAAGATAAAATATGGATTAAAATATAGAACACACGAATTTCCCTCAAACATTAAAATCCAGATACTTGAGTGGGGAAAATGAAATGTCTTTTTTCAAAGAAGAAATCATGTATAGTTTTCAGATCCAAGCACCATAAAAAGTTTTACAAAGACAAGGAAAAGCTTCCTACACTGGTAATTTTATTTCTCAAATGAAAACTGTCCAAATTAATAATACATTTGCTCTATATGGTATACACACAAGTTAATGATAGAATTTTGTCATAGTTGACTATAATTATTTATTTTGGTGACTTTTATTCATGGTTAGGGGGAGCAACATTATTATTTTCAAAGAAAAAAAAAAAGCTCTGCTATCATAAACTTTAACCTTCCAGCACGTGCGCTAAATTTACGACAAATTCGGTTTTTAATGCACACTTTTCGCAGCTGAGACGTCTGAATGTCACTTTTATTCCTCCTTTCAACCTTTCCCCACATCATGGAACATGCCAAAAGGAAGTCATATGACATTTTTTGTTTTTTTACTGGCTTTTGTGCTATGTGGTAAAAACTTCTTTGTAAAAGTTACGACACGCACGTGGTCATTGGGGAAAATTCGGAAAATATTTTGGAATTTTGTGTTATTAATTGACGTGTATTATTTTAATTTGTATAAATTTGAGTCTATAATTTTTATATCGGTTTTCGTGGTAAAAAATACGTGCAACCAGCTGATTTTGCTGGCATCCTTCAAGAATTATCTGATGAAGAAAAAGAAGACAAGGAAACTTTTGGATGTGAGAATAATATCACTGTTACCTGAGTGGAAATGATGGCCTACTTTGGATTGTTAAATATGATGCGAATAAAAAAAAGGACACCCTGTAATTTCAAAAGAATTGTTCTCAAGTGATGGTACTGGAATTGAAATAACAATAGCTGTGATGATCTACAAGAGATTTTTATTTCTGACTAGTTGTCTTTGATTCGATGATAAATCAACAGGACAAGACAGATGAATATTAAAACTAGCTTGGATTTTAAAGTATAGTTATTAAAATAATAAATTTTCAAATTTTTATAATGAAATACATTATTATTTTTCCACCTGACTGATTTGAACGTTTAAAAATAATTTACTATCATTTAAATGTGACATCATTTGTATTTTGCAGTAATAAGGTTAATATTTGATGTTTTAACAAATTTATTATCAATATTCACACATTTCTGTCATTTTTCATGCCAAAAACGGTAAAATAACAGATGTTGTAAAAAATACGACGCGCGCATGCTCATGTAAAATTCCCAAGCGTGCGTGCTGGAAGGTTAAGCTTAAAATCAGATCAACACTCAAACACAGTAAATTATCTAAAAATAATTTGATGCCTCAACAATAAAAACTGACAATCAATAAACAGCCAATTTAAGAATCTGCTATTAAAGAACTATACTGCCACACTTTGAACTCCAGTTTTATTTAATTCTTACATAAGAGAGGAAAAATAACGTAATCCATGAGAGTGACTTCAAGGATAGACATCAAATTTGTTTAACAAAGTATGCATTTTGAGGAATCCTTCATACCTATACATTATTCATTAATACAGAAAAACTGAAGTAATTTTGAAAAATATGCATTAGTTGGTGATAGTCTAAGTTTATCCTAATATTAAAGACATTTTCTAATCGGATTTACTGAGTTTCTACTTTACTACTACTATTTGATTCTATCTGATTTTCTATTACTGCTACTAAGAATATTTCAATACCTTTCAATTTCAGATATTTTCAGAATTATAAACTAACAATTATTATTAATAACAATAATAAAGATATTATAATTAATATACCCAAACAATACCCAAAGGTTTTATTGGGAAAAGCACATACAGCACTAGCTTGCCAATAGGCAGCTTAAGCAGCTTGGATTGTGCACAACACTGTATGTGTTGCATCATGATCAAACTCTATGAGAGGTAAGTTGCTCTTTTTGGGAGTGGCAACAGATGTAAGAGAGTAAGAAGCTGAAAGTTTTTTTTTTTAAATATAAAATAAAAAAAAAAAAGCATTTTATGTGTTTGTGCTGTACTATTTTTTGATTTAAATATATATCCGAACAGGAACTACATTTCTGGCTCCTCCGGGTGGGTGAGTTTCGTTTTGGAGTTTAATAATGGTAAGAAAATTGAATTTCCATTTTGAAGTTATTGATATAGTTATATCTTGAATATAGACATTTATCATTGAATTCATGAACAAATTTAATAAGATAGTGAAGATGGAAATCATTAAACGAAATAAAACAGCACAGTGCGCTGCATATACTCAGTTAGAGAGTGTGCTGATAAATGAAAATACTAACACAGAAGAAATTGAAATGTCTTTACATTTGCTTAAGCAAAAACTTGATTCTTCAGGCACTTCATTAAGAGTTAACACACAACAATTATTTGGATACTTTAACGGATGAAACAGAATTCAAAACTTAATTTAATATTGTAGAAGAATATAGAGAATAGATTAAAGGCTTCGAGTATGGAATTAAAGTCTAAACGAGTATTAGAGAATATTAAGAGCAAACAAAATAATAACACAGGTAGTAATTCTGGCAATAATTTTCTATTGGCTGTGTATAAGAAATTCATATAAAAGGATCTCCACAAGACTTCCTGAAATTGAACTGTATAAATTTGGGGATGAATTAAAAGACTGGTTAACCTTCTGGAATCAGTTTAAAACTTACACAAAAATAAAAATTTAACTAATTGTGATAAATTTCATTACTTAGTTCATTCAATAAAAATTAAGTCAGAAGCTAGAGAGCTTATTGAATCTTTTCCTATTACTAATGAAAACTACCCTTTGGCGAAAGAGCTTAACTGAAAGATATGGACAAAAAGAACCATTAATTGATCTTTATGCACGAGAATTGTTAAAACTTGTTTTAAATAATGCTACTAAAAGGAAACAAGATTCTTTATGTGGTCTGTATAAGAAGCTTTCTACTCAACTTTGGGCTCTAAGTAGTTTTGGTGTAACTACGGATCAGTGCAGCACAATATTATATCTGTTAGTCGAAAGTTCATTACCGACCTATATATTGCAATCATTTGAAAGACAAAGAAAAAATATTGGGTCTGAACAGAGTAAATTGGTACTTGATGCTATAGTTTTGTTTCTATAAAGCGAAGTGCAATCAGAAGAAAAATTAAGTAGATCGGACACATTTCCCTATGAGCGTGAAAGCAAGAACTTGGCAGAGAGCCGACACTCGCTTCCATCTGCTAATGAATTATTCAAACGATGTATGTGTGTTTTGTTAAAAGAATTATGCAACTCACTCTTGTAAGAGGGCATTTTTCATCCTATTAGAAGAAAAGATCGCAATAATAAAAAGGAAAGGATTGTGTAGAATATGTTTATCTAAGGGACATATAGCTTCTACATGTTGATCCCAAATAAAGTGCCAATTGTGATCTAAAAGACATTTAAAGTTCGTGTGCTCAAATATTGAATGTTGTAAGTCTGATTCATCCAAACAAGATGTAAATGACAAAAATATTAATGAAAAAACAGTTGATTCTTTGCATTCTCGTGCGACGAATGAAGTTGTATTACAAACTCTTGTCATAAATGTACATGGCATCAAGAGATAATTAAAGCTAGGGCTATCATCGAAACCTGATCGCAAAAATTGAATATTTTGAAATCTACTGCTGAAGAATTGGGTTTTAATTTGCAGAAGGAAGAATTTTGTCATTCCTCATTAGCAGAACAAAATCAAGAATATATATAAACACAAGTGTCATAAAATATACTTGAGTAGTCTTAATGAGAACTATATTTGTACATTAGATACTTTGGATCATGATGTCATTACAAATGACATTTCTAGTGTAAAAAATGGTTTTGTGATACATGAATTGAAAACTAAAAAGATATCCTTAACCAATATTCAAGAAAACGCAGGTCCCATTGAGATACTTTTGTGTGCAGACGTTGCCGGTAAATTAGTTACTGAACGACAAAGAAGAATTAAATACAGGCTTAGTAGCATTAGAAACCAAGTTAGCTTGGAATTTGATGGGTAAAACACCCAACTATACCGACAAAAAAGATGCAAGTATGAAAATTGTAACCATGTTATATCAAGCTAAGAAAGAGAACTCTACACTTCAGCAATTAGAAAAGGATATTGAAGAATTACAGTGCTTGAAAAAATCAGCGCAACAAGAAGTGAAAAAACTGAAGCAAGAGCAAAATGTTGGGAAGAAGGGTTGTGTTATTTTGGAATTAGAGCAGCAAATCAAAACTCTACAGAAGTCTCAGAATAGAGAAAATTCTTTGTTGGATATATCAGATGTAAAAGAGAATATTAAAAATATCATAGCTGCACTCAAGATTACCAGTCTTTTAAATTAGATTCTTTAAAAGAAAAGCATCAGAACAAGAAAACATAATTTAAGAACTCAGGAAGAAGTTAAATACACAAGATCAGACACTTCTGGAATCAATTCCTAATACTCCTGCCAAAGCAAGAGGGTCATTTGTAGATTCACTTCCGAAGTCTGCTTGGAATAGTTTTGGTTCAACCCCTATGAAAGAGTATCGAGGATTTAGGCACCATAGTGATTCTTCAACTTTCAGCAGTACAGAAGAAGAAAAAAAATCAAACAAACAATTATGTCACGAGCTGGAGTGTCAGAGACATAATTCAGAAGCTTCTAGAAATAGGCTTGAGCAAAAAATGAAAGAAAAAGAAAATGCCTTAAAAGCAGAAATAAAACATCAAGCTCATGTAATTGCTGACTTAGATCAAAAACTGAAAGAAATTAGAACTAAATATCAGCAAAATATTTTCTCAAGCCAGCAAAAAATTAGATCTCACAACTCTTCAGTTAAGCAAAGCAGAACAAGTTAAGGTGCACCCAGAAGCTGACAAAAAGAGCTTTGATATGAAAATAAATGCTTATGAATTTTCCCTAAAACAAAAAGAGAAAAAATTAGAAGAAATTCAAAAAGCAAAGCTCTCTTGTGAAACAAAAAAGCAAGCTCTCCTTTCAGAAAATCATGTAAAGTTCTGCAAGACAAAAACAATTCTTTGACTGAAGAAATGAAAACCCTTCATTTACAACTAGAGGGCAGCAATAATCTAGTGAAAGAAAAAGGAACTGGAAATTCTCTCAAAATCACATGGATTATTAGAAGCCAAAGCACAACTGAAAGATGAAGCTGCTGTAACTAAAGCCGAGAATGTTAATCTAGAAGCCAAAATTTGTGACTGTTTTTTGAAAGAAGGCATACACAAAGAGAAAGATTGAAATTCTGGAAAAGAAGAAGAAAGACTTTCTGATGAAAATTGCTGTCAAATCTGATAACAATGTAATATCTTATCTGAATGAAGATGAAGGTAATTTAGCTTCAAAGCTAGCAGATTTTGAAAATTTGAGCACAGAAATTTTAAACTCTTTTGACAACAAAGTCAGAGAACTAGAAGATGCAGTTGTGGCAGAAAGCAAAAATCTAGAAGGCAAAATTGGAGAATATTCTTCGAGTGAAGCCATGTTAATGGAGAAAGTTGAACTTCTGGAGAAAGAGAAGAAAGAATTTCTAAACAAACTTTTGAAATTTCTATATTTGAACACTAAATATTGATTTTAATTTACATTCTAATATTTTGAAATATTTCTATTGTTATTTGTACATTTTTGTTATCTCAAATTGTATGTATACATTATCATTATGTTACTGTTTTTGAATTTATATCCCCCAAACTAAAGGTGGGGAGAATGTTGCATCATGATCAAACTCCATGAGAGGTATATTGCTCTGTTCGGGAGTAGCAACAGATGTAAGAGAGCAAGAAGCTGAAACTTTTTTTTAATACGAAAAAAAAGGGGGGGAACTATTTTATATGTTTGTGCTGTACTTTTTTTTATTTAAATATATGTTGTTGATGTTTTTTTTTCAGCATTGTCATCTATGAACAAAACTCCCTACATTCATTTTCACAATCAAATCTGCTTGTGAGGATTATGAAATTATGTTATACATGCCCTTCAGTGGTGGTTATAATATTAGTGTATTCAGCAATGACTTAGAAATAAATCAATATTTTATAAAGTAAACAATGAATTTTTTGACAGAAATAAGGTAGTCATACTTTCACTAGGACATGCATGGCATGAAATACTGCTTGCTGTTAAGTAACATTTTTCAATATGTCAGTGCAAAAATTTCCGAACAAATACAAATTTTATAAGTGAGCACATTTAAAGCCAACAGTTAATTGCGAAATTTCTATATGTTGATAATTTCATAAAATTATCTCTACTGGTTCCCCTTTTTTTCCAAGTATTTAAAAAAAAAAAAAAAATGAGGCATATTTCACTTGGAAGCATTTAATTTCTTTAATAATAATAATGATAATTAAGTGCTTTTATTAAAAGTACTTATTTATGAAAACTAAGCAATCCTTAAGAAGTTGAATTTTCTAAAATAAATATGAACATAGCGATTGGAATGAAAGCACCAAAAATTACAGAGAATTTGTTGCATGGAAGACAAGACAATTTTATATTAATATAGATTCTGTATTCTGATTTTTATATCAGGATGGACTCTATCACAGAAATACTGATCCAGAGTCCCTTGCAGCAACACTTGCTTAATAGCTTAAATTTATGGACAAATTTTCATTACAATAATCTCAAATAAACCAAGCATGAAAATAAACCAAGCATGATGTACATAAAATTTATGTACATCCAGATGAACAAAAAATATATTTTGATATTTATACTACAATAAATGATTAAGCAGTATCGTAAACTTCAAAAACTTAAAATATTTAAAAAAAAAAAAAAAAAAAAAAACTGGAAAAATACTTACAGAATAATCAGGACCACCAAGTTCTACAATTCTAGTTTCCCAATGACCTTTCTCACGCAGAAGTTTGTTAATTTCATCATTGATCTCACGAATTCGAAATTCTCCCAAACCAGCTAAAAAAATTATATGTAGCATATGATACTGCTTTTCTCTATATCAACATATATAAATGGAAATAGAGAAGGGGGACACCACACAATAAATATTTTTAAAGTACATTTGTTATTACAAAATAAGTTTGCAGATTATTGCACTTTTAAGCAATATATAAAAATTAAATGCATTTATGGTACAGAATTTCATAAAAATTCAATACTGGAATAGTGCACATACAAAATAGGAATTGTGCATACAAAATTTAACTTTTTGTGTGGTCTCCATAAATCAAAATCCAGTTCTAAAATTGTTCATTATACTAGATACAAAATATTCCACACACACACACATATATATAGTAGAAACTTCATCAACTATCTTTGTTAAAAAAAAAAAAAAAAAAAAAAAGTCTTTGTTTCAGCTTGCAATCAATTTAAAGAAATAACAGAAAAAATGTAGGAGAAAGGGTTAAGTGAAAAATCAGTAACTTTGCATACTTTATCAGTAGATGATCTTTGGGACTTATAAATAACATTCATTTCATAGCCATTCTATTGTGCATTAAGGTTTTAAAAAAAATCTGGTTTACATGAGTTAAAAATTTTAAAAATACTACTGACAGATAATTTGTAGAAATGTTTAAAAAGATAAAAGGATGATGTTTTGAAATGGATAAATAAAGAAAACAGTGAACCACATTTTTAGGATTTGAGTAATAATAATAATAATAATAAAAAATCATTCATGGTAAAAATTCAGCAGAGAACAATAAAAATTGCACAGATGTTGAGACTGGCAATGAAAGAAAAATATGACAATTAATCATGGTGAAGTCTTTGTTTTTTAATGACTTTATTAAGTTTATTATGCAAATCGCACACCTCTCTGCCTAGCGGGGGGGGGGGGGGGAGAAGACCTTTTTAATGGGAATCGGCAAATGTATACATTACATAATATGGGAAAAGCCATGGATACTTCCATGCGGCCAGCCCGTTTACTAGGATTTAAAAATAAGTTTAGCAGTGTTCAATGGTAAACAGGCCTTTGGCAATGGAGCTAACCACTCGACCTTAAAAACCTGTTTACAACAGCCTAATTTTGAATGCAAGAAATGTATGCAAACTGGATAGCTTTTTAATGGAATTAATTTTATGAGCTGCAGAAATATTTCACTCTTGAAATTTTTAATAATATTGTCGCTTTGTAATTTTTACATCATTAATTTCTTTAAATTTAAAAATTCTCAAACATGAATCTTAGCATCATTTAAAATATTTTTAAAACATGTCTATCACCAATGTTTACAAAAATAAAAGCCAGGTAATGACTTTTGCAGACACGGTGTATACACAGTACAAAGTCCGAGATCTGGACTCGTCGGAACTTCCACGATTCTGGATTTGAGATTTATCCATATATGAGATCATCAGTTTAAATCAAATAAGATCACATGTAGAAGTTATAAAATCAAAAATGTGAAATTTGATTTGATTTTGATGCATAAATGCTTTATTATGAAACAATAAAGCTTTTATGAACCAAAATCAAAATTTTAAAAATTAAATAAAAGCTTAATATTTATTTGTTTTGCTCATTAAACATTTCTTCAATGCAAATTGTTTCATGTGCTTCATTTTTAAGTGAATATTTTCACTTTAATTCCTTAGACAGATGTAATTACTTATTCAGTTACGAAGTTCTATTGTTCAAGTCCTGTAATTGCCATGTCGAGAATTTCCAATAAACTGTCAGTTAATTTTTTTTCCTCAGCAACCTCTCTGTCCCTTTCTTCATTACAATAGCAATATCTTCTAGATTTAGAATCATACTAGATTTCATCATTCGTTAGTTGATTAATAATTGGGACATTGCCATCAAAAAGAAAATCTTCTATTATATCATCTTGATTTATTACTACTACTCCACAATTCTTCACAAATTCCATTAAATGGAAAATTTAACTTTTTTTAATGCCATCTGAAAACCTTTAAATTCGTGGCTATCATTATAAAGCTTAACTAGCATCCACTATACACTACTAATGATGTATCATGAGATTTGCAACTAAGGACATATCATTCTGCTAAATTATATCTTGCTTCTACTGCATACTGATCAAGTTAAACCTGAATTATGTTAATTTAGTTATTTATTATATTTAGGCCTATTTCCCACATGTGCTTAAGGCTTATCTGAGACCCGATTTAATATCCAACATATAGTTTCTGCATACCCAAGGCCAGCACTACCCATTTTTCCATCTGGTGCAGTCTCTGTTTGTCCTAAATTCTGCTGCCAAGCACCTCACAAATTTCTAAAGATTTTGCCATCCCTTAATTTTGTAATTCAGTACTTCTCTAAATTATAAAAAATTTTTGGCAATTTGGCTCTCCTAAATTCTACCTCTCAATATGGCGACATCAACTTTAGTGCTTGTCCTGCGCTTATCTTAATAACAAATTGGTTATTCTTAATTCAAACAGCACTAAATGTAATCTTTTGGCCTATGAATATTATTTATACAATTTATTTTTTGCATATGAAAAGGAATTTCTGTGAGATTTCTCATTATCACACTCAACACTTCACAGCACAATTAGCTGAAGTCTGTAATCATAGGCAAGCCTAATGCCAAATTAAGTGCAAACTACCATGCTCTTTGGTATTCAGTTGTTAATACTAAAAAAATATATATATATGCATCGCTGCATGAGTCATCATGTTGTTGTGTGTTGACAGTCATGGGATGATGAAAACAAAAACAAAAAAAAAAAAAAAAAGTAAATAATGATTTGACAGGTCAGTGAAAGGGAGATAAATTATTCACCAAGTAATAAAATAAAATGTAGAATTGTTTTAGTTTGATATGTATTCCCAATAAAAAGGGGGCTACAGAGCCAAATGATTGATCACATACGTTTATGCTAACAAATGACTGTTTCTTCAATATTTTATTTTTTGACGAATTTATTTATTTTTTGATAAAATTAGGAATCAGGACTGTCTATGTTTTATTATGAGAAAATATCAAATGCATATGCATAAAGCATATCAAAAATAAAAAACAATATGTAAAAAAATTCTGATGGGGCTCAAGATTTTAAAATTCACTCAAAAAATGAGTTGATTTAATTAAGAGGTTACTTTTTTAAAGTTTAATATGGTTTATCAGTAGACATGGCCCAAGTGGAATAGTAAAACATTTTATAGATATTATATTGCATTTAGGCTAACATGGGAACTTTACAAATCTAATGTATATACTTAAGGTTTTTAATTAGATATGTTATGATTGAAATTCATTTTTGCTTAAATCAATCATTTTAAAAAGTAGAAAAAAAATAATATTCTAAAAAACTGCATCTACTGATTTTAATTAATTCAACTGGTTCATTAATAACAGACAGATTAAACACGAAATAATAATATTTTATGTTCTTCTGAATGGTAGTAGACTCAAATGAAAAGTGAAACAATACATTAAAGTGAAAAAATATATTTGAAAAGTGATTAAATAAAGTGATAGCATAGTTCTACAAAAATATTTAATATTTTGAATTTGATATATCATGAAGTAAATGCATTTTTATTTAATTCAGATTGAAAAGTTAAAAAATACTATTCTTAAGAACTGCATGTGGTCCCCTTTGCTTTTAACTAGCTTAAACTGCTCGTCAGTAACAGCCGAATTAAATTTGTCAGAATGTAATCTAAGATATATTACAAAGGCAAAATGCATAATATTTACCTTGCATTTTGCCGACTGGCAACAGACCTGAATGAAAAGTGGAAAACAGTGCAAAAATTGCATTTGAGACTAATAGCCTGAATGAGCGAATCTTTTGGGCTAAGAAATTCTTTTTTTAAAAAATTCCACCTTATCCCCCCTCCCAAAAGTTGTGTCAGATTTTAGATAATTCCAGATATTTGATGTCCAGATTTCAGACTTTGTATTACATAAGTGTGAGTATGTAACAATATTACATGTATACACGTGTATAGATAAAACAAAATCATAAATATGTCAGTTCCTTTTTAGACCTAAAAATTTACACTGAATATAGTAAGACTTCATGTACAGTAAGAGAGAAAAATCATTACTTTCTTCAATCAAATATTCTTAAAATTTTACATGTACAGTAAGAAAGAAAAATCATTACTTTCTTCTATCAAATATTCTTAACATACTGTTTAATTTAAATACGATAAAGAAAATTTCAATACCATTCTGAATTTGAGCAACCTTTTTTGATATTTCTCCAATAATCTGTTTTCTCCATTTCTCTGCAGCCTTCAAGTCATCACAGTCACAAGCTAAGAATGGTCGACGTTCCTGTTGTCCTTTACCTTGTTCAGCTAACTGAGCAGCTCGAAAACGAGCCAGAGTAGTCCTGTATGGATAAAATAAAGTTAAAATTTGTGAAAGATAAGTCAAATTCTTTTCTTTTTTTTTTAATTTCTAGCATAATTTCAAGCTTTTGAGTAATGAAAGCATGTTTTAGTCAAATATATAAAATAAACATAAGAGGACAAAAAAAAAAAAAAAAAAAAAAAAAAAAACCCTTTTATTGAAGTATAATTATCTAATCTTAATTTACACTTTGATTTAAAAGAAAATGTATAGAAAGTTTAAGAAGCTAATGAAATTAAGTAAAATTAATTTTAATAACATAGTATGCTTTTCAAATTTTCAGCATTAGATAAAATATTTCAAAGAATAATAATGAATGGAAAAATAATGAAGTTAAAAAATTATTTAAAATTTTTTATGGATATTAATTTTGATTGTTCTTAAAATTTAATGTTGCTGATTATATGCAAATTTGGCATATACAGCAGAATTCTGTTAAGATTTCAATAACCAGAGGATTAGAAATCTTAAATGCGGAAATCCTATGCGAAGATCATTAAAGTCTTAAACCATGTAAAAGCTTATTAAAAGTAATAGGATAATTAGTAAACAACTTTAAAATCGCCACGAAAGTTAAAAGAAAAAACTTCAGTGAGGTAAAATAAATATATTCAGGAAGTCTTTTCTAGTTTGGCAGAATTTCCTCAATGTAATAGAAGCTTCCTTTTACACTAAGCATCTGCTACTCCTTCTACACACAACATAATTCATTAAGGTATTGAAATCACAGTAGTTTTTTGGAATTTCAGTAGATACATACATGCATATTGTAATAAAAATTAACATGCACAGAGGATGTCTGAACTTTTTTTAATGATTTTAATGCAGTAAAATAATTAATAATAATACAAACATTATTTTTTCGGTACTTCACATAATACTCCTTAATTTTAACTACTAGTACATACGTTGATTTCCATGCCAAAAGAAAAATTCTTAATTGTCCCATGATATTCTTTCCTATTCTTGTGATCTTGTAACTTTCCTATTCCTTCCCTCTTTCTGTAATTCATCAGTTTTTATATACTTTACATGCTATTCTCTTTTCCAAATTGATCTTGATATTTGCACATTTGATGTTGACATATGATTCCCAGCTTTACCATTTTGGATTCAAATTTCTGACATTGCATGGATAAAGAAGCAAAATTTGATTTTTATATAAGGGCATGAAACCATTGTACAGGTATCACGTAATTTTTTTTATATGAAAAACCAGCCAAGATCCTAAAGCTTTTATGCAACCTTTTAGACTCTTCAAACTAAATTTCTAAGACATTCTCTGCTCTTTTTTAATAGTTAATTGTTTACTTTCTTGTTACTTCACAGCTACACTTCATCTATAATTGCAACAAATTTCTGTTTTTTATGCAATAATTGTTTTTTGTAAAATGTTCTATGATTCTGCACTATACTTTAACTCCTAAAACCATACACATGGACAGATGACTTACTGACCTATCTTATTTCTAAAATAACGTAAAACAAACTCAGTTGAGGTTTTAAAATAAAACCTTTTATTTACTTGTCAACCTAACAGTTACAGAAACTCATTCAATAACAAAATATCAAATTTTGCAGCTTGCAGGAAATTTAGAATCAAAGCTCAATTAAAGCTAAACTTGGTAATTCCAAAGTAACACATGCCTAAGTTTTTGGTTAACCCTCAATTTTAATTATGGCTAACAAAACCAATTTTAAAAATTCAGCCACAAGGAAAACAACAGAGAGACTGGTCATCGATGGTTGCAAAGGCTCTCTCTTGAACTTAAGAACTCTGTACTTATATACATTAATTAATTTGCATTCTGGAGTTGACAAGTCAACAAAAAAGAAGTTAAAGGTAAAATAATAGGATAACTGATTAATTCATGTAAAACCTTACAACATATCTTAGAAGAAGACAATGAATAAAAGATTTTTAATAAAGTTTAGATCTTCACTTATTATTTGGTACTTACGTATTAGTGCAATAACCTTGGCACAATTTAACAATTTTTTACAGAATGAAAAGGATGCTGTTTTATAAATGTAAAAAAATTATTTATCACATACATATTTTTCATTTTAACTTGGTATTTATCTAAAATTCACTAAATTTAATAAAATTACTTGCAAGCAGAGTTTTGTTCTTTACGTTTAGGCAAAAATTTATAACAATCACTAAGAACGCACACTACACAAATTTCCCTTCAATAATTTTGTGGCAAAACATTGTATTCCTGCAGAAGAAACACATGAAAGTGGTAAAGTTCTTGTTATAAACAAAGAATCCCTGTAAGGGATAGTGCTGCAAATTTTCAGTTATTACATGCGTATCAAATTTTTCTCTTAGCAATTTGTTTTGCTTTAATACAGTCAAAAGTCGTTAATCCGGACTCGTCGGGACTTCGGCGATTCCGGATTATCGATTTTTCCGGATTATAGATCATCAGTTTAAATCTGGTAAGATGGCATGCAGAAATTACAAAATTAAAAATATGAAACCGTAATTTATGAAATAAAGAACAATTATGATCTAAAGGGTATCAAAATTTACAAAAAGAAAAAGCTTAATATTTATTTGTTTACTTTATTAAACATTTCTTTCAATGTAAGTTGCTTCGTTTCATGTGATAATACTTTCTCTTTAATTCTATTAAACAGACATAATTTCTTGTTCAGTTACAAAGTTCCGCTGTTCAAGTCCTATAATTGCTGTGTTGAGAATACCGACTAATTTGTCAATCGAAATGTTTTCGTTTTCAATAACCTCTGTCACTTTTCTTCGCTATCGGAAGCGAATTATAATGACGAGGAACTTGTTTTAAATCATATCAAAGACGAAGCATATCGAGATGAAATACTACATTTGGTAAGGAATTATAAGCCAAATAAAATAAAAACATCTGCGCTGAAGATAAGGATAGTGCTGACAGATCAACTTCCAATCCACAGCGTGAAATTGATAAACAGATTTTGGATTTCAAAACATACTTTCGCTTTCTATATCCTTTACATATTAGCAAATATATATCGAAAATTCTATTTGACATAATCGAAAGTTCAAGCTTACTTTTATGAAATTGCTCTAACAGTCTGCAAAAAATAATAAGCCGGATTCCAATTCGAAGATTAAGGAACAATGCAATCTGCAACATTAACTGAAGTAGATAATTTTAGCTTAGCTTATACCTGTCTGTTACACATTAAACGCACATGCGCACAAATGTATTGTCGCACATGCGTAAAGGTCATACGCACATGAGTAAAGGTATTATGCACATGTGTTGAACGCATTATGCATTTACGCATGCGCAGAAAGTTTGTAGTTTTGAGGTCTGGATTATAGATCATTTCGGATTATGGGTGTCCGAATTATCGACTTTTGACTGTATACACACGGTTTGGGGATTTGAAAATCCTTATATTATGAGGAAGTTGAAACAGAGCAGTCCGGAAGTGAATGTTGGGTGTGGGATGCTGCATGAAAAGATTTTAGGACCATTTTTCTTCCACAAACAGATAATTATAGCCGAAGTTTCCCTAAAAACGCTGATTTATTACATTTGTCAATGGTATGAGAATCCTAAAACAGAGGTCATTTTTCAGCAGAATTACATGCCACCACACACAGAATTGTGCATTCATAGTTTTCTTGACAGAACATTTCCCAAATGATAGATTCGGAAGGATGGACTCACGTCAAGGCCACAACTTTCATCTGACATAACCCTTTTGAACTCCTTTCTGCAGGGCTATGTTAAAGACATTCTTCACCATTTCAACGAGTCAAACACTGCCCAAATAATACACTGTCAAAATCCCAAACAATACACTGTCAAAATTGTTCAGAGATTTTGTGGATACCCACAGTTACCACAGCATTGCATATTTTGAAAATTTATTGACTTCTACTGTAGTAGTTTTACTAATATATTCGTAAGGATTTATATTTATTTTAAATAACCAATTTAATTTTACATTCTTTCCTATAAGCCCTTTTTCCCCTGATTGTCAATGCCAGAATATTTAAATTTGGTAGCGGACGTGAAGTAAAGCGAATTCTACCTTGAGGAGAAAAAATTTAAATACTGAGTTCTAGACGGGAAAGTGAGAGTTTGGGCAATCACCGTCACCTCTGTAGCATGAGCTTCTATTTCTGCAGTTATTGCAGGTTTACGTAGCATAACAGCTATTACTTTGCTGCCACTTTATTTCAATGCGGGCTTCAGAAACGGGATTATCTGAGCCCTGTAGAGTAATTTCTACTACGTGTTAAATTCTTTGCCACATTGTTAATTTTAGAAAGCTGAATAAAGGATACTTTCAATTCTTCTGTGCAGTTCCTACACATACAGTAGTCACTTAGAAGATAGACAAGTGATTCTTAGTATAACAGGGCACTAACTGACATTTTAGGAGGGCAGGTCATTTTTTAAAACCATACATTGAATTTTTGAAATGGTCTTTGAAAAACTTACATTTTGTAAATAAACAATTGGCATTTATGTGCTGTAGAAAGTCATGATTATCCCAATTTCCCCCCATTTTTATAAATGATACTGTTCACTGTATCCCTAAATGTCGTGATTTCAGAATTTGTATATTCTTTCTGTATAGCAAAATGAGAATATTTTCCTTCAAAAAATTTTAAAATATAGTCTGTCTAAAATTTACGTATTTTCTGATCATCCACACCTCCACTGAAAAGTCAGAAACTCATTGGTATCTTTTGGAAGGCATACACGAACCCAATGATTAATTTTTTACCAAGCTCAAGAGTGAAAATCAATAGCCATTTTCAAAATGTTGGTGCAGTAAAAATTCCACAGAAGAGCAGTCAATCAATAAAAAAAGAAAGAAACATCAGTAATAAAACATCTACCTTTACCAAGAAATCTTTCTTTTTTTACATTATTGCTCTCCCCAGAACACAGCAATCTGTTTTTGCTTTAAAATCACATCAGAGAATTACAAAAACTTGGCTCTACAGAGCCA